CTATATAAATCCAATCCATTATTATTATTATTATTAGTAGCACACCCCGCGGCCCTGATGAGGATAAGCAGAAGAGAATGGATGAATGGATAAACAGTCTGTAGTGGCTTTGCAAGCATCCTCCTGCGGACCAGTCAATCCATCTACTTAAAGATGCAGAATGCTGTCAATTCTTAAAATTGTTGAAATCAACTAACTATTATCAGTTTTGGGGATTTTTACATGAACAGTGTGGACCAAACACATTACAATTTGTTGGAAATTACATATTTTAAGACACAAACTAATTGACTGACTCAGAAAATAATGTGCTTATTATCCATTACTTAAAATGTTAGTGGCAGTCCTAAAAATGCACAGACTTTCATATTTATTCCACTTTGTGCTGCAATTCTAAATATTATGTTGCCTTCTTAATAATTGTGAATTATTTTATTAGTGATGTTGGCAAGCTTGAAATTCTCTTTAGGGTGTTAGAGGAATTTAGGTTGTTCTGAAGTATGTTTTGCTGTGTGTTTGAGACTGGGGAGAGAGAGTTTGAGGACTCACTAGGCTGCCTGGTGGAACTCCAGTCAGTGATTGAGTCTGAAAATTGGGAATTTGGGAATGACTCCAAAGATAAAGATAAAGTAGGGTTTTCAATTCCTTTAGATGACAGCTCATCCTCACTGCCTTTGTGATCCCTGGAATAATTCCTAATATCCCAGCGGAATGATTTCTCTGTGTTTGCTTCCTTCTTACACAGAATAATGTAGCACTTTGTGAAGAACTGACAAAACAAGATGCCGTAGGCTGAGATGAGGATAACGACCATCTCCACTGCTGGAATGTACTTGTCTGTGACATTGACATAGACTGGGCCAAACACGATCCAGGAGATGAAGTAAATGAGCATTGCAAAAGTGATGAACTTTGCATCATTGTAACTGTCAGGCAACTTTCGTCCCTTAAAAGCAACACCAAAGCAGATGAGAGCCAAAAGGCCAATATAGGCTAACATGGCTCCAAATGCAGGAATTAATTTCTCATTACAAAACATCAGTTTCATGTTTTTCTGTGTGATCTCTGAGTCAGCAGTTGGAGGACTGTGTATAAGCCACGTTGTAACAATAACCACTTGACCTGCCATACAGACTGCAATAATGAGGTATGGCTTGTAGAGCTTCTTCAGCACACTTTGAATGACCGGGTCAAACTCAAAGGCTAAGACGATCTTAAAGGACTTGACCATGATGCAGGAGACACACAAGGTAAAACTCAAGCCAAACACCACCTGCCGTGCTTGACACTGATAGCTATTGGGTTGACCACCAAATAATATAACACTAGCAAATGTGATCATAAGGGAAAGGAGGAGAAGGATGCTGATTGGGCCTACAGATGAGCGCACAACAGGGGTATTCCAGTGTGCAAGGAAGATGATCCCAACAACAATGGTAAGCACTGCTCCTAAAGAAGTAAAAGACAGCAGCACAATAAGATATACATCACCCCATTTCAGAAAATCAATTTTTCTTGGCAAACACTTTGAACTGCCTTTTAGGGAGTAATAGTTTTTTTCACAAGGATTACACTTCTCCGAATCTGAAAAGAAAGAAAACAAGATCATTAGAATATGTAAGTTGGATTCAAGCTCCTTGAACTGTCAATGCAATAGACTGCAATATAAGCATTTTAAAAACACTTATTTTGGCTTTTATGTAATTTTACAGTTAACTGATACAAATGGAGTTTACTGTTTTTTTATAATACATACCAGTGGTATTGGAAAAGGTGTTCTCAGCACAGGGTTCACACTGATAGCAGCAATGAGGCTGGCCCGAAACTGAAGTCTTACTGTAGCCAGGCTGACAGCTGTCTGTGCACCTGGAAGTCACGTTTCCCTGAGAGAAGAAAGAATCATGATTTTGCCGGTCAATTTTTTACAGTCTGTATAGTGTACTCTCTTTATTCTAACACACAAGTTTTTATATGCTAACTGCTTCTTAAACAACACAAGAACAAGAAAAAAAGAAGGAAGGAAAGTAAGTAAGAAAGAAACTGAGGAGCTAATCCAGGACACATAGTCATTCAGTTTTCAAGAAAAACTCCTTAAATTGAGTATTGACATTGATAAATATATGACAAATAAAACAAACGTATGTTCTTGCTGATGATAATGGTAATTTTCAAATACTTAGGTTATCATTTTAGTGTGCCAATATTAGCACAACTAAGTATGATCAGATTACCTTTAATTTCATTCACAAAATCAGTAGAGAGACAAATTGTGACCTTTGACAGTGCAAGAGTTAATAGTTTAACCCAAAGTCTGTATCAAATGCCATGGTAATCAATAGTGATTTCTTTAAATATGTAATATCAATATCAGCATAGCATTAGAGTAATATTTAGTGAATCACCAGAATTGGTGAGATTCATGTTAAATATTTTTTTAAATATCAATTCAACATGGCTGATGAATGAACCACCAATGAGTCCAACAATATATTAATCTTGCCAACACTGACTGTAGATAATGTGAATATCTAAAAATAAAAACAATGAATGAATGGAAGAAGAATAAAATAATTTTACAGTGGAGGACAAGTTATACTTACAATGTAAATGTAGAAAGCATGTTTTGTTTCCTGCGAGATGAACGTCAGGCTATTTTGCAATATACTGTAGTGAGCTACAATGTCATTTACATCTAGAGACTCTGAAGTCTGCTTCCATAGGACGATATCGTATTCAGTGTTGAGATCACCATGGGGATCAAATGAATAGTTTTTCTCATCCATGTTGAACTTTGCCTTCCATAGGGCCCCTCGTAACTGAAATTGCAGTGTGTGTGAAAATATTGATTAAAAATAATGTATCTAAAGTGGACAGGACAAAACATCATACACACAGATTAGGTACAACATTATGACCAGAGACATGTCTTTTCATCATAGGACCTATTAGTGGGTGGGATGTATTAGGGAGCATGTGAATATTTTGTCCTCAAAGTTGATGTTGATGTGGGTTTTTCGTGGTCTGCAGTAGTCAGTATCTATCAAAAGTAGTCCAACAATAGAACCAGTGACAGGATCATGAGTGGCCAAGGCTGACTGATACACATGGGGAGTGAAGGCTGATAGAACTACTATATATACCCCATTTCTCCTGCGATCTTTTTTTTTCTTGAAGCTCCAGCTTGAGAGTTCTGTGGAGGGAGCTTTAGGGTTCTTGAGGTTTCTGTGCAATATCTTTGCTGTTCCTAGGACTGCATTTCTCTGGACAGAGATCTCAGATGTTGTTCCTGGAATCTGCCAAAGCCACTCACCCAGTGTGGAGGTCACTGGCCCAGCTGAGAGAGGAGCTATATCTCCTAAAGCTTCGTTGATATTATTGCTGTAGATCAAGTGGTGTGGATCAGTGAACTGATGTCTCGTTCACTACTGGCATACAGCTTGATGTTATCCATGTAGAAGAGGTGGCTATTGACTACTCCATTCCATAGTCGGAATCCATAGCCAGTCTTTTTAATGATCTCACTGAGGGGGTTCAGGCCCATGCAGAACAGGGTGAAAATCCTTGATGAAAGGTCAAGTGGAGACTTGATGAAAACTTGTGCTATTGGCTTGAAGTTGGTCTCTAGTGTTGTTTCCCCCATCCACATTGTATTCCTGATGAAGGTCTTACTTCATCAGGTCTTAATCCAGACTTTTCAGGATCCATGGCATGGCATCCAGGCAGTGCACAGTTTGGTGAGTATGGTCTTGTCTTATTGGCTGGTAGTTGCATGGGACAGGTCCCTTCTACTGTCCAAGCCTTCGTTTAGTCATTCCAGGTGTCTCTCGTCCATTGGCAGCTGGTTCATTTATGCTGCCAGTTGCTAGTGAAGTGCAGTCAGCTTCTTTAGCTAGTAGGCATGAATCATGTCAGGCCCTGGTGCTGTTCAACTCTTCATACTAGGGACCCTTTTTTAGATGTCTGCATCTGTGATGGTCACTGGATCCTGTTCAGGGAGATGTGGTTTGCTCTTAAATCAACTAGCCACTGAGCCTTTTTTGGGTTGTGGCCTTCCATTTGCTTTATTGACAAGGCTGTGAGTCTTCACCTTTAAGTTTTTAAGGCCTCAGGTATGCACAGCTTGCTGCAATTTTAGGCACCCCTTTCTTCATTATCACCTTTCTGCAGTCCTGCATCTTGGCCTCCAGTCTCCTTCTCCATGGGGGGTACTGCTCCTTGTGCTGTTCATTTTACACCCATCTTGTACCAAGCATCTCAGTGATCACTGCTGCCATGGTGTAGATAAGCTGGTTGGTTTGAGATCTGAGATCTCTGTCTCAGATCTCAAACCAAACACCAAGCTCTGTCTATATATATATATATGTGTGTGTGTGTGTGTGTATGTATGTATGTATAGGGAGAGAGAGAGAGAGAGAGAGAGTGAGTGTGTGTGCATTTACCTCCAATGGGGATGGGCGTTTTGTCTTGCAGTCTCTGTCAGTGCAGAGGTCTTCAATGGCCTGAGCTATTGCTTTAACCGCCAGTTCTATACTGAACACAGCAGATGGATATATCATAGTCTTTAACTTCTCTGATGAAGTCGACCCATGCTGCTTTAAAAATGTAGACAAGAATGGGTTGTTGTTGTGGTGGTTTGGATTTTCATCAAGGTCATCGAGATATCGCTTCAACTTGGTTGTGTTTCCAGATTTAAAAGTGATCCCAATGATTGTTCCTATGTCACTCAAAGTATGTTTTTTTGTATTCAGTATTTCAGGTGATTGTGACCAAATATCACTGGCCAACCAAATTCTCCTTGTTCCTTGAGGATCATTGAGAAGTTTTTGAAAAATATACGTCATATGGTCAGGTTTAGCGAAGGACACAATGACACTGACGTTTTCATTATCTATGATGGTTTTGACTGTAGACTCAATGCTCTTTCCCAGCAAATAATCATTTAAATTATCTGGAAGAACAGAGGTGAAGGCGAAGCAGATGCCTTTTTGGTTTGTGTAGTACCAGAGTCGCTCAGTTATATAGCGAGCATATTCCCCATCGGTTGTCAGCACACCAACCCAAGTCCATCCATTATTATCAAGAATCTCGGAGATGGCACGAGCTTGGTGATCATCTTGTGGTACAGTCCTCATAAAGCTTGGAAAACGGGTTTTATCACTTAGAAGGCCAGAGGTTGCACCATAACTTATCTGTGGAAATAATCACAAAACATTGTTTGGACAAGTGAAACATGCTTTTTATATTCTGCCTGCATTCATTCTTTTACAGTGCAAGGCTATTTATGGTTATGTTTTACAATAAGTTTGAAAAAATTAAGCACTGTTAGCTGAGTACAGAATGGAAAGGTATATCAGGTCATTTCATCCATTCTCTGAATAATAGTTGCTGCTGTTTGAATAATAGACTTTACATTCAGTGATAACTACTACTACTACTACTACTAATCATCATCATCATCATCATAATCATAATAGACCCAAATAGTCAGTCATACCTCGGGTATATATTCCAGGTTGAGTAGCCTTGTAACTGCTATGGCTATCTCTGAGTAGTAACCACCAATGACAGCAAGGACAGGGGAAGACTGCTGTGCACTAGTGTTACCTGCAAAAATGTATTCAGTGACACAATTACTGGCATTTACATTAACTTATATTACGACAGTAGGATTACAAACAATTACATTTACATTTATAAGGAATTAATCAAACTGACTAGCCGGAAAATTCTCATATTTTCATTTTTTCCCCCTCAGAGTACTCACAGTTTCCCCTCATAAAGGATGGGATTTTTCTCAGGGAGGTAGTAACGTCACCACAGGAGTCAAGTATAAGATATCCCAAGGTGAGGTTCCCCAACTCTTGCTTCTGATTTATCTCCTCCAGCGCCTGCACCATCATCAGAGACTGGACCACGTTAGCCGTGCTGAACCTGCATGACACAATCAGATATGTTATATACAAATATACCCTAATTTAACACACACTTTGACACTCATTGCTAAAGAGTAACAGCACCTGTCACATATCTGGTTTTCACTGCCATCATAATTCACAGTGACATTAACGCTTTCGTGAATCGGAAACAATCCTCCAATAATGATGTCGCCTTCTGCTGTGGCCTGTTCGAAGGATTTGGTACCATGGTGTGATAAAACTACAAAAAAGATGCAGAAGCTGAAAGAATGTTTCATCTTCGTCCAGCTGTCCATCTTGTTAGTAGAAATCCAATTCGAATAATCTCCGAAAACGTGCTCTGAAAAATCACTTGTGTGTATCCCTTCAGTGTGTTTGCAGAAGACAGAGCTGTGGATATACCTCTTTAACTTGACATACTGCTTATCTTTTTTCTTTTCATGGGGGGGGGGGCTTTTTATGGTCACATGGGGTTTGATGTCACTTCAAGACATGGAATGTGACAATGTTATCGCTACTTCCAGGTAATTATTCTGATAAGTTTCAGTGTGGTTTAAAAAAAGGAGATATGAAGTGTTTGGACAGGTGTTGTATTGACATGACTCATATCCACTATGTATAAAGATAAATTGGCTTACAGTTCAGTAAACCAATCTGTTGGCAGTGCTGTTATATAATACTGACATACTATCCTACTATACTTGGCAAGACAATGCTAGGTATTTCCCCGAGAGGCTTAAAAATAATTCTATAGATGCTAAAGTAAGAAAAAGAAGTAAGAGGGCTCTGGTGCCAAATTCTTAACTTATGTCTTATGACTGTGATCTTTAACCAGGTTAAACAAGATTTGTTGCACACACCTCTGCACTGCATGCATTTCCTGGTCTCTCTTGGCTGCTTTTCTGATTTTATTGCCTCAACAAAACCCCAAATTGTTCTGTTACAAAAGAACACAAGAAGAATATGTAAAACAAATAGCATCATATTAATACAAGTGAAAATGTGCTACTAAAAATAAATAAGGCTACAAAATATCCAAGCATAGAAAGTATCTAAGTTCATTTAACCTTAATTTATAGATTTATGTGCTTTTTGATACTCCACTGCATCTAATACTTTTACTTAACTACATTCACATCAATGCTGCTGTTAGCAGTCTCTTTGAGGATTTAAAAGTGTGTATTTACACATAAAAATGCTGTCCATCCATTTTCTTCCAAGTACACAACTCAGGGACACTTGAGCCGGAGCCAGTCCCAGATGCCACGGGGGAAGAGGTTGGGTGAAACCTGTACAGGCTGCCGATCTGTTGGAGCGCTAACAAAGAAAGGCAGACAAATGTTCATGCTCACATTCACACCTATGGACAATATAGAATCAACCTAACCACCCTATGCATGTTTGGATTGTGAGAGGAAGCATGAGTACCGAGGGACAACTCAAGCACAGATTCCACACAGAAAGTCCCCGGCCTGGATTTTAACAGTGGACTTTTGTACTGTGAGCCAATGGTGCTAACCCTCATGCCGCCCCATTAAAATGAGTAATCATTAATAATGGGTAGTAATCCCTCAGCAATAATACAATATATAATCTGGCACTCCCAAGTGCCACAAAATATGTTGTATAATTTAATTTCTGATTATTTGTTGCTAAACTTTAAAATTTTTGCAGTGTCACTAAATGAATATGCACACACTCATTAATAGGTACACCTCGGTATTGCCAGGTTGGACTCACTTTTGCTTTCAGAACTACTTTAATTCTTTGTGGCATAGATGAGATCCAACAACATGCTGGAAATATTCCTCACAGATTGACATGATAGCATCACACGGTTGCTGCAGCTTTGTTTGTAAAATATCATGATGTGAATTTCCTGTTCCACTTTAGATTGAAATCTCTTGACCTTGGATGCCATTTGAGTACAAAACACTCTTTGTTAAGTACAGTGAACCAGTCTGACAAAGTTTAAGGCTTCTGATATGGTGCTTTATCCTGCTGAAAGTAGTCAGAAGATGATCATAAATTAATGGACATGGTCAGGTATAATACTCAAGTAGTCTGTGGTTTTTAATGATCCTC